CGCCGCCGCCGCCGCCGCCGCCGCCGCCGCCGCCGCCGCCGCCGCCGCCGCCGCCGCCGCCGCCGCCGCCGCCGCCGCCGCCGCCGCCGCCGCCGTTCCGCATGCAGGAGCTTTACTCGGTCAAGGTGTCGAGCAGCGTGGCCCCCTTCCAGCCTCAGATCACCCTCAGCTTCTCTGGAGTCATCACCCGGTCCGGGACCGGGGCCCAGGAGACCCGCCCGGCAAAGACCCCATCCAGGACCACCGCGACAGCCCCCTCGGTCATCGAGGCCACAGCCACCCGGGATCTGGCCAACTATTTCGACGCCAAGGGGGCCCTGTGTGCCCGGCGTTTGGCGCAGGATCTCGATGACATGGTTTCGCGCGTGCTCCTCCTGAAGGCCACCCCCTCCTCGTCGGCGTCGCCAGCCCGGAAATAGGCCCATCCCATGCTTTTCCTCTGGCCCACCCATACACCCCCCCCCCCCATGCACACGCACACGCACGTGGCGGCCCTTCACTTGTCCTACGCACGCGCCTTCTCTTCAAATATACCCCAACACAGTGTCTTCCTCCCTTGCCCCCCTGTGCCCTCCCCCGTCTCCCTTCCGGTGCATCTCCAGCCGAGGGATGTCTGCCAAATCGGATCCCAGTCAATGAGGCGCACCCTCCCCTTGCTCCGCATCTTCGAGGACGCCCTGCATTGCCTCTTTTCACACAAGGACAAATGTATTGGCGCGAATTCACGCAAGCAACAACAAAACAAAGGGTATGCATGGACGGCCCACAGCAGGGAGGGGCTCGGCTGGCGGACGCGCGCACCGGCACATCTGCACACGCTGGCATGTGCGTCAGGCAGAGCGTAGGCGAGGGGGGAGACACAGCAGGGCCGCCAGCCGGCGACGCTCACTCATCATCGAAGCTGAGGCTGGGCGAAAAGTGGAAAGGATCGTCATCATCATCGTCAATCATGTCATAGTGACTCCCATTGTCCGCGGCCCCGCCGAAGTTCAGCACTCCAGACAGGTCAATGGAGAAGGCATTGTACTGATCGACGGAGCCAGGCTGCGGGGACGGCGAGGCCCCCATGACGGAAACCCCACCCATGCCCGAGGAGGATGGGGGCTCGCCTGCCAGGCCGGCCCCCTCGCCGGGGAAGGCCGCCGAGTAGGACCGAATCAGGGGCCGATCGAGAGGCGGCGACCCGGGGGCCGGCTCACTGCCGCGCGAGAGGAAGTCCTGGGGTCCGGACATCCCCGGCAGGGGGGCCACACTCTCGTCGTCCTCGCCGGACGGGCCCATGCTAGATGCTTGCGCATTGCCGCCCAGATGTTGCTGCTGCTGCTGCTGGTCCAAATATGGACTCTGCAGCAAGGACCCGTAGCTGGAGATGGCCGACGCGGAGAAGGGGCGTGGCGGGCCACCGGGGCCGCCCGGGACATACATCAGCCCCGGTGCCGGCATGGCGCTGGAGGCCGCCCCGGAGGTCTTCACGGTCCCCGGAGAGGCGGCACCCCCCGCGGCCGGGCCGGGCGATCCGATGTCATAAATAAGCGAGGGGCTCCGACCGGACCAGCCAGTCGATTGGGAAAAGCTATCCAGCGCGGCCTTTTGCTGGTACTCGCTGTTGTGCGCCATCAGGAAGGGGGTCGGGCGCGCGGAAGTTCCCCCGACGCCGGGCGCGCCGGCGGCCGGCGGCGAGGTGGACCGGCCATTGGTGCTGCTGCCGCCACCGGCGCCGGTGGCATTTCCAAGCAACGCGTCGCCCTCCTCATCCGAGCCGAGGCTCCCGCCGGCGCTGGTGGGGCTGCCGCCAGTGGAAGAGCCAGTGACCGAGATGCTGGAGCCGCGGCCCGAGCGCCGGCGCTGATTGGCGCTGCTCCACTTCCCCGGGTTGGGGAGGTCCGTGCCCGAAAGGTCAGACTTGGACGAGTGGCGGACCAGCAGCCGGGCCGGGTAGAAGGCGAAGACAAATAGCAGCAGGATGATGGGGATCAGCTCGCCCATGGTGATGTACGCCAGCACGCGTGCCATGCTGCCATACGTCAAGGTCGGGAAGCTCAGCAGGTAGAAGGCCCGGTAGAAGAAGCACCCAATGCCAACCACCGTGATGAGGGAGATCTGGGACCGGAGGCTCAGCTTGGAGGAGGAGGAGGAGCTCGTGGAGATGCGACTGAAGCCGCGGAAGAGGCTGCACATGGGGCGGGAGGCGAGGGAGCAAACAAACCGAAAAGAGTCCCCCCCCCCCCCCAGGAAACCCCAACAGCAGGCCAATCCAGCACGTAGCTCGGTTAGCAAGTGGCCCGGGGAGCGGCGGGGACAGGGGCGACACAGGCAAAAGAACAAGACCCCGGCGTACCTGAAGCCGAAGAAGAAGAAGAAAAGCGCCAGAACAAGGGAAAGGGTGCCATTGGCGTAGCAGATGAGCTGCGAGGCGATCAGCCGGAACCGGTCATCCGTGAAGATGGCAATCAGGCCGAAGGCCACGAAGGACAGAATAATCACCGAGATATTGAGGAAGAGCAGGAAGTAGCAGAAGATCCGGAAGTGCGGCAGCCGCGAGCGTCCCAGATAGTGAAGGTATGCCCTGGGGAGGAGGGAAACACCGGTCGGCAGAGGGAGCGGGCAGTTGTGTGAGTGTGTGAGTGCGTGTGCGTGTGGGCACGGGACAGTGTTTGGGGGTGAGGGGTGGGCGGAGGACGCATGGTTTGCAGCAAGTGGCAGAAGCACCGGGGGACGCACCAGCACACCAGCACCAGGGAGAAGGTGATGATGAACAGCAAGTCCGGAAAGAGAACCAGGCCGAAAGAGGTGAGGATGAGGGCACGCTCTTGATAGAAGCCCAGCCGGATCTGCGCCATGAAGAGAAAGTAAACCGCGCGCACTGGATGAACGGTGGGTGGCAGGTGAGCTGGGGCGTGGCTTGTGTGGAGTTCGCATGCATAGACGAGAGGTGCAAGTGTGTGTGTGTGTGTGTGTGTGTGGGTAGAAAATAGGCCGGATGCCAGAGGAGGGAGAGAGGGGAGACGAGGCGCGAAGAATACATATCCCCATCAATGTGTGCCTGGGGCGGGGGAAAGAAGAGCGGAACGTACTCAGCGCCTGGAAGCTGATCACCAGGACGAATGACAGGCGCATTTTCCAAAAGAGCCGAGAGATCTTGCTCTTGAGGACGGCCAGGCTCCAAACATTGATGAGCGAGTGGGCTAGCGTGGCCACCGAGCACAGCCACACCACTGTGTACAGGCCGAAGGACGCGTAGTCCAGCCGATACCACAGGTCTGCGTCGGACTCGGGCCCGGGGAAGGGATAGGACGGCTTGTCCATGGGCGGCTCCTCCAGGGAGGAGGAGGGCAGGGAAGAGGCGGACGCGGCCCAGGGGAAGGGGGGCTCCCGGGCAACGGCCAACACCCCTGGCAGGCTGACAGCCAGCAGGGCTAGGGCTGATGCGAGCAGGAGGCGAAGGGGCGGGGCGGCGGATGCACGCCCGCCGCGGGTGAGGGACCACATTGGCGAGGGGCGTGATGGCAGTGCAACTGCAAGAGCGACAACGGGAGGGTGCCGGTGATGACGGCGGAGGCTGGATGGGTGGCGAGGCGAGGCGTGTCTGAGGATGGGGAGGGGGGACAGGGGGGACAGGGGGCGGGAGAAAAGCCAGGGGCCCTGATGG